CTGTTTTTTTTTTTTTTTTTTTTTTTTTTCAATGGTCCCATGGACCAAGGATCAGATATTAAACTGACCAGAACATATAGTCTCTATGATAAATTTTAATTTGTCAAAATCCCAGAAAGGTATGACATTGTCTCTACGATAAATTTAGTCCGATGGTTCTGGTGAATCTTAGCAATTCATTCTTACAGACCACCCAAGCAAATCCAAACCCCTCCGCAATTTCTTTCATGTTTTTTTTTTTTTTTAACTCTGCACCTTTCACTGACAGTTGGAAGTACCTTTTTTCACGTACAGATTCCGCATTCATCTCTGTAAGAAATTATCAAGAATGAATCTTAGCATTCATTCTTACCTACTTGGGTTAATTTTCACCAACTGTCGAAATCGGTGCAGCATACCAACCGCCATCGCCATAGCCATTGCCATAGTCATCGCCATAGCCATCGCCATAGCCGTCACAATAGCCGCGGTGGCTATGGCGATGGCTATGGCGATAGCCGGCGCCACAGCGATGTCCATGCGGTGCGGTCGTGAAGACGACGAGAAGTAAGACTGCCAAATGTGTACAGCAGCATTGCAATCGCCATAGCCATCGCCATAGCCATCACCGTATCCATCACAATACGCATCGCCATAGCAATCACCATAGCCATCGCCATAGCTATAGCCATAGCCATCGCCATAGAAATCACCATAGCCATTACCATAGCCATCGCCATAGCCGTCATTATTGAGACGCCAAGGCGACGTGCTCGCGAAGACGACGAGAGGTACGTCTGCCAATGAGTACAGCAGTTCGATCGCCATCCTCGTTTACCATAGACGTCACCATAGCCGTCATTACAGAGGTGTGAAGACAATGTGCTTGCGAAGATGAGGAGAGGTATACGAATGGCTGTGTGTCAGTAGCACAACAGGGGAAAAAAAATAAAAATAAAATATAAAATTTAAAAAAATCAATCGGACCAAAAAAAGTCGGTCGCATCATTGCCGATGAGAGGAGGGATAATTGGTGAAAAGCGCCCACGCAAAGGGTGCAATGTCTCCTCGCTAACATTGAGTACGCAGCGCTGGCAGCACTCCTCCCTTCCCCCCACCCCCCACCCCCCAAAACACCCCCCCTCCCCCTCTTATCGCGAGATTGAGTAGGCACGCACATACACACGTTGTATTACTGTATGTCTCGAATAGTCGTCTGCGAGCGAGTACATCGTAATCGACAGTACCCTATAGATGCCTCTTCTTCAATCGATCGTTCCAATACACATGTACACACTCGCCAATCATCTGGCGTCCTTCTTTGCCAGCAATTAATTAGTGTGCTTCCAATCATAATTGAATCATGTAATCAACCAATCAAGTTGAAATGCATGTAGAATCGATCGCAAATCTACAGGAAAGAATGTAGAATCGCTCGCAAATCTACAGGAAAGAATGTGGAATTGCTCGCAAATCTACAGGAATGAGGGCAGTGGGCACACTAACAGTAGGACGCTTTCTGTTTTCACTTAGCTCGGGACGTAATTGCAGTCAGATGCATCAAGGTCTGGCAAAAATTGCAGTCCGATACATACACGAAAGTGTGCTAGTGCCAGCATATGCCCTGAATGTGGAATCGCTCGCAAATCTACAGGAAAGAATGTAGAATTCTTCACAAATCTACAGGAATGAGGGCACAGTCACACCAGGACTTTTTTTTTTTTTTTTTTTTTTTACTTAGCTYTGGACGTGATTGCAGCCAGATGCAGCAAGGTCTGGCAAAAATTGCAGTCCGACTCATTTACGAAAGTGCTAGTGCCAGCATGTGCCAGTGTGCCCTGATTGCAGAGCCGCTTGCCAATCTACAGGAATGCATGTAGAATCACTTGCAAAATTTAATGGCCGATATCATGCATGTAGAATCACTCTCCTCTCCTCACTCCTCTTCTGCTCTCCACAGTCGATTGCTTCGTCTACGCTGTGGCTGTGTATATCGGCCATTCATTATATCGGCCATATAATGAATGGCCGATATACACAGCCACAGCGTAGACGTCGAGTTGCAAATCGATCGAATTAATGGCCATTAATGGCTGAGCAGATCGATATACACCGGCCATTAATTCGTCTACACAGCGTAGAGCGATGACGTCGAGTCGCAAATCGATCAACCACGGCTGAGCAGATCGATGTTCAAAAAAAAAAAAAAAAAAAAAAAAAAAAAAAAAAAAGAGCAAGCTCGATGGGCGGTGGAAGTGTCGATAAGCTGAGCAGATGGACACTTTAACCGGCCATCGATCTTTCTCTCCTTTTTCTTCTGAATTTTAATTTTGACCAATGTATCCGTCTCCCCGCCCCTCCCCCCACACCCTCCTACAAACCCCCTCGCAAACCTGGCGAGTCTACGGGCAGAAAATCGGCGATGAATGGATGTGGGCATTCGGACGTGCATGCAGACGTACACGTAGTGACTGCTACACTGTCATGTCCGACACGTTTTTTTGGGTAAAAAATCGACGGCTGCAGTGTTCAAGTTGGCATGGGCGAACAACTTCACGTGTGCATGGCCAGAGAAGCAACCCAGGTTAAACAAAACAGAAATCAGCCGTCCAAAACGGCGATGAACGTGCACGCATGCATGCATGAGCCTCGGTTTTCCTTCCTCCCTTACGTTTGCAAACCAGAATTCGTGCAAAACGCGAATTGGGTGCTCTCTCACACGATCCCAGCCCCATTCTCCCTCTCTCACAAGCCCACCTCCAACCCCTTTCCTCTCTCTCTCTCTCTCTCTCTCTCTCTCTCTCTCTCTCTCTCTCTCTCTCTCTCTCTCTCTC